TCTTGCAAATTAAGAACAGATTTTTAAATGGGGGGAAAAACATTGTCTTGAAGTGTTAATGACATATTTACTTGATTTATATCAAGTTTCATAAAATTGCAATCTTAACACTAGAACTACCAAACCAGTCAAAATGACCCATTCGTCATTTCTAATAAAACTTGTAAAAAATTTACTCGACTGAATTTTTGAAAATTTATCGTAATTTTCTATAAGAGAATATATAAACACTTATTTCCATTGCATTATATGTTTCTTCGTTTATCTATCGTTTCAATTTCTTTGGGTTAAATAAACACACTATAATTGTCGGTAGTTCTAGTTCAATGAACTGATATATAACTTTTTGTGGTCATCGAACACCGAAAGGGTGCAACTGTTTTCATTTTGGAGCATTTTCTATTTTCCCCTTTGGGGCACTCTGACGAATTGAAAAAATCAAAATTTTCTTTCTATCTACCCTAAAATATTAAAGTAAAATACGCAAAAATGACAAAGTTGCAGAAGTTTTAGCAGATGTGAAAAATATAATACACGTAACGCTTGAAGCCAACTACTCTTTACTTCGGGAATTCATTTGAAATTCTTTTATTATTTCTGTTGTGGTAAAGCTTGTGAATGAAGAACGAATAATTAGTTCCTACGCGGTGTTAAATTAAATATTGACTTTTTCGCAGATTTTTTACATCTTTTCTTCAAAATTTCATTTTATAATAAATTATTATTTTTATAAATCCCTACGTGCAACTGAAGCTGCTGTCTTATAGTTTAAGAAAATTGCATGATTTCTTGTTTTAGAATTTGCAGTGAAAAATTACACGTCCGCCCTTTTCCAACAAATGTTTCGAGACCTCTCCTATTACGTCTATAATAATTAATATTTTTATACGAAATTTTTACGAGAAGTAGTTCAAAAAATATTCTTTCGTAACCATTAAGGGGCCTTTCTACTTTGTTTAAAAAATCGAATTTTTTGTTTGCATTTTCTTTTAGCATGTAGTCTCGAAAATATATCTACCAAATATTAAATTGAAATTTGAAAAACTAACGAAGTTATAGACTGCTGAAATGTACCGCGCGCAGGTATAACAACTGGACGTGAAACTTTAAAGCTGTTTTTCTCGAAACAACATTTTTCGGCACTGCGTATGTGATAACAAAAAACTATTCAAGATATTAACATGAAATTTATACAGTATCTTTAGAACTGGTCTCCCTATAGCATGAACTAAGATAATTGCGATATATGCAATACTGTTTCTTTTATTAACAAAAAAGCAACCGAATATATGAAAATATTCAGTATTTTTTCGTAAAATAGCTGCCATTTTGCCATTTTTCGTTGTTTTTGAAAAGATCCTAATTCATGCTATAAGCAAACTTATCTATATTAAGAATATCTTTGGTTTTTGGATTTCGGATAACTTGTTCGCAAGATATCACGTTCGTAAAAACTGTTGTTCGTTGATCAACAAAAACAGCGTAATAAATAGATATTATATAATAAATGTATCTACAGAACCCGGAATTAATCGCTCTTTAACACTATTCCTACGGACACTTCACGTATACCTATTCCTACCGCGACCGGTCGAATGACCGGTTTTCAGCACAACTTATATTTGTTAATATAGAATGAAGATAACAGCCAATTTAACGGTATAAAAATATTGTTTTTTTTTATTCAAATAAAATGAGAATAGAATAACGATGGAATAAAAATATAAAATAATAAATGACTGCCGAATATGCTCCAGGCAACTTTCACGTTTTGATGCTCTCCACTCGAATTACAAGACTTTGCTGACTTGAATTCGTGAGAAGTCGTCTAGGCATCCCCTTCGCTTATGATTTTATTTATTTTACAGTTATAATAATTCTAAACACTTGGAAGTGCCTAAAGCAGTCTCTGGAAGGCATTTTTCAGCTAAAATCATGCCACAACTGCATTATCTTCGAGATAATACTGTTACAAAAAGATATAAATCGTTCAACCGGTACAATGACCGGTCGTGGTAGGTAAAACAGACTAAAAATTTTTCTTGGAAAATAAACAATAAAAAAAGAAGCGAATATTGAAATAAGTATTATAGGTATATTTTAGGAAAAGTCGTGAAGTTTAAAGGTGATGCAATTACGTTGTACATAGGAAATTCTAAACGAAATTTTAAAAACGGTCGTTTGACCGGTCGTGGTAGGAATAGTGTTAATAGCCTGCAAAAAAAAAATCACAAAGAAACATGTATTTTTCGTGCCTACAAGGTAGAATGGCCCCTTAAACATTTATTAAAAAAAGTTTCAAAGTTAACCCTGAAAATATTCTTGAAAATTGCTTTTATTTTCAACCGTCACAGTGGTTTCTCCCCTTATGAAAAGCAGACTGTGCTGTGACTTCCGATAGAGAATATCTCCGTTTCCGGATAACGAGTGTGCCCCGCGTATATCGTATGCCGCAGACCGCAACTTCCGGTTTCACGTTGTCCTCTGTTTCTCGGCTGAATATCGATCCGTGCGCTGTAATAAATAACCAGTCAAATTGCCTCGTCCGATTTGCCCGCGTTCGAATTTCATTCCAGTCTCGGAAACCTTCAAACGAAATCATCTCCAGCAAGAAACTATTAATTGTTTCGCCTCCTGTAGCAAAAGTAATTGCTTCACGAGACGAGGAAACTTTCATCGACTTCCTCGCACGGTCGACTCCGACGTCCATTTTGTAGCCTCGTCTTTTTGTAATTGTTTTTCTCGTTTCGCTGATTGCTTTTATTTTGTTCAAATCCGTGGAAAACTCCGGTCAATATAACGAACGATATGACGTATTTCCTTGGCTCTCGTAGAAATGTTAAAGGAAAGTTACGAAGTTATTCAATTTTAGTTCCAATGAATTTTTAACTTTTAGCAGAATCTGTTGAGCGTTCATTGTCTATGCTCGATATTTAACAGCGACTTCTTGAATTCTTTGGGTTTCCTTTTCTCTGTGAGTTGCGAAATTTGAATGTTTGAGGACAGAATGGGGGAATATTTAAACGAAGGAAGGGCCACGAGAACACCGAATGAAATCAGAATTCCTCGCAATGAATTCATTTCCTTCTTTTTCTTCTTTTTTTTTGAGGTTTTTACGATGCAAAAACAGAAAAGGTTTTGCGGTAAAAATATTTCTAAACCGAGCGAGCAATTCTTATGCTGACCACCCTCGTTCCTTCGGGAACTGAACGTACTTCGAGAGTTGAAAACAAAATAATAAATTCACGCAAGTATACGAAACTAATCAAGAATAAAATATTCTTGCACATTTTAAACAAATTTCAAGTTTTAGTTTTGCAAAACTAATCCAATTCCTGATCACTTTAGTATATAAATATTCTATAATAAATTCTAACACGAGAAAAATTTATATCAAATATTAATAAATAAGAATTTTGAAATTAATACGTAACATTTGATAACACATAGTAAAATACCCTAAAAAAATATTGATCCATCGACTTATTATGCATTTTATGGAATTTCATTTACTTAATCAGGAAATGCTCCTGATACGATGTAGTTGATTAGAAATTGCTTCCTCTGCATCCTTCAATAAATGCACTTGGACGAATGATCAACAATTTTTTGATTTGAGTAATTTTACGCGAGAAAAAAACGAGGACAGTTATTTTTAAATGATCAGAAACCAGGTCCGTAACGGTGACATTTTTTTAAGTCGTTTTGCATTAAAAGAATTCTATCGCTTTAATGGTTTGTGTTGACAGTAATCTCCAGGTATTGCTGCATGAAAAAAGGTATAGCCTAAAGGATTAGATAACGATTCTATCGCGTGGAAGGCGACTGATTGTAGAATTTGCACTACGTTAAGTCGCGTTACTACGCATGAAACACGCTGGAGTGCACTCGAAGTACGCAACACTTTGGCGCCAGGTTATTTCTACCCTAGAAAATAACTGGAAATTCAGCATAATACAGGGTGTTCGGCCATCTCTGGGAAAAATTTTAATGGAAGATTCTAGAGGCCAAAATAGGACGAAAATCAAGAATATCAATTTCTTGACTGAGGTTTCGTTAAAAAGTTATGAACAAATTCAAAAATTTCAAATCGTTCTGGAAAAATTATTTTCGGTTGTGGGGGTCAATTACAATCATTTCTGGTCATTATACATATTCCCCAAATCCTACACACTTTCGAGAAAAAAATTGCTTACCGAAAAAATAATCTGAGGCCTGAAATGGTACCCTGAAATTTCACGCGAATCTTTGAGACACCATAACTCCAGAACGGATTGGACGATTTTAATGTTTCGAACGCCAAACTACGCATATTTTGATGGAGAATATGTGGGAATTCCAAAAATATCCGAAAAGTTATTCCCTGACCTCGTAAAGTGAGGAAAACCCCATAAAAATGGTCCAATTTTCGAACGGCCATAACTCCCACAATAGTGAATATATTCCAATGAAATTTTTTTCTGGTGTAGTGCTCATGGTTACCTACAAAAAAGTGTTAGACAACTTTTCCGTATAGCGTCAAACAAATTTATTAAAAATCGAAAACAAATTTTTAAGGAAAATCGACAGGGGTAGAAATTTTTCGACGAAAAGAAAAAATTTCAAATTGTTCTAAAAAAATTATTTTCGGTTGCGGGGATCAATTACAATAATTTTTTGCCGACAGACATACCACCGAAATCCTACCCACTTTCGAGAAAAAAATTCAAATAGATGAACTTTTTCGACAAAATTAAAAAATTTCAAATCGTTCTGGAAAAATTATTTTCGTTTGTGGGGGTCAATTACAATCATTTTTGAAAAAAATTCTTTATTGAAAATATATGTGTGTGGCCAGAAATGTTTCTACTTTAGGCGGATCTTTAAACGTTAATAACTTTTTCACAAAGCCTCAATCGAAAAAAAAATATTCTTGATTTTCGTCTTATTTTAGCCTCTGGAATCTCTCATTAAAATTTTTTCCCAGGGGTGGCCGAACACCCTGTATACGATGAACATTCCCAACATATTTTTAACACGCGTGCATACAACTCTGACTTTCAGAAAATGTCCTTTGATGATGATAGTCGATAAGAATTGCCCGCACGAGGGACGCGTACGATAATGGGACTCTGTTGAGGAAACACACTGGCAAGAAACACGAGCACCCGCCGTTTTGAGCTCTACAGTTTGCTCGAACTTTTAAATAATCGATAACAAAAATCTCGACGGAACGCGTCTGCCTAAAAAAACAACATTGTTCGACAGTATTCTTGCTAAGCGACGTATAAACCCGCGAAACCGTCTGAGTCACGCTCGAACATATAACACAGGCATGTCCAACTCGATGCAGGTACGAATACTTTCCAGTATGCCGAGCAAATAACTTCCGTGGGCAATTAAATCACACCTTCCGCGAGCAAAGGAACCGTGGGTATGCATGTGAAGCTCATGTATGTGGAAATCAGGGCACTCTCCAACTAGCAGCAAAATTAGCGAACAAACGAATAAAAGATGAGGTACAAATGAGGTAAAAATGATATCAAATACGAATATATTTGACTGGTTTAAAGCAGACGAATAATATGTAATTAACGGAGGCCCATGAAGGAAAACAGATATTATAATATCTATATGAATGAACAATCTATTGTTTCAGAAAAATCTGTTTGTCCAACACGGTGACTGCTATGCTAGTTTTTATGTACAAATTACGTGGTTGACATTTTGTAGTAATTATAATGATAGTAACGTCAGTTTGTAACGCTGATAATCAGTGATCCACCGTAATGTAAATAGTACATTAACACGTATGAGTTTCTTATAACGTTTGTTTAGCATTTTGATTTAAACGCAAACGAGAACAGATACTTGCTACTGCTGTCAAAGTATGCACCTGATCTTCACTCGTCGCTGCTTGTTGTCAAGTACTCGAACCTTGTTGGGCAAACTTTATATTCGAACAACGAACAAAAATTTTCGTTTCGTTCGTGAACAAGCTTTTGCTGATGTTTGTTTTAAAAAATTAATTTACGAAATCGAGTTCCGTATTCAGAGATAAAATTTGCCCAAGTCTGGACGTTGGGCATGCCTGACGTAACGCATCGAATCGGGTAAATTTAATCGCAATTAATATCCTTTAACTATCCTAACAAACGATATATCACGCTTTTGATCCAACAATTGCCTAGAGCAGCACTTTTTCGACATCCTCGAGATATGTATAATTTCCGACGAAGCTCAAAACAATCGGTTCGCGTCTTCTACGTCGAGAGCTCGTCTCTCCACTTCCTGGGCTACGATAGCACGATAGACAACGAGTACAAATATACACGATACCCTAATCACAGGTGGTGAGATGAGGTGGGCTGTTATCACATCTGTTTTACAAAAAATCGTCTCGAGCGAGGCCACGACGGAACATCGTAGTATTTTTTTTTTCTCACGTACAACGTATAAAGGTGCAAAAATCTGAAGAGGCACGGTCATCGCTGGTACTCCTAGGTACCACGATTCGCCTCGAGGTCTATCGACGTATACTACGAGCTTCTTCTAGCACGATAATCGAATATGATTGTTAGAGATTCCCCTGCGTAGCAAAAATGGTCTACCGGAATTCTATCACTTTCCCGTTACGAAAGCAATTTCTACTATTCGATCGGAGCCCCGGGTAAAAAATCGTCAATGTACGCGGATCGTAAAAAATTGGGCTCCGATGTCCAACTACTCCTCCAATATATTTCTTTAAATCCTTTCACGGATCTACCCTTTCATCCGCGTTCGAAGAAGTTATTACTTATTTATATTCTGTTTTGTATCATTTTGGTCTCCCGCGCTCGAGCCGTCGACGTTAACATGATTCGACATCGTCATCGTTAGCAATAAAGATATTGTCGTCGCTGAACCTCTAGTTGGGCCTCTTCTCGGTAGCAAAATAGGCAACGTTCCGTTCTCCGTGTCTGATTCGAGGCGCGAGGGTTAAGCGACAACGAGTCAAGAAACTGGAAATCCGCAGACCGTCGTTGTGGAGTTTCCCGAGAAACGCTTCGGCGGTGTAGAATTTGGTAAAATAGAGCTTCTATGTAGCAGCGAAGAAGCACTTGTTTCGTTGTCGTCCAAAAAACAACCGGTCACAGAGTTCCATGATTCAGGCCAACAAGTTTCTCTTCCGTTCTTGCAAAAATTGCCTATACCCTTCATCAAAGCTATAATAACATCCCTTTCGGAGAGGGTAGGAAGCTTCTCCCATCCATCGAGTTCGATACAAAATACAGACACCGAACGCCAACTGGATCCATCCATTGACACAACCAACTAGCCAATGTCTGGATCGCGTTCTTTCTTCGACGATGAACCATCGATGCCCCTAACACCTTCCCTTCCAAGGAATGGAACTCGATCAAAGAAAGACGAAGGTTCTTTGTAAAATCTGAGAAACCTTACGTTGCACGAGTCCCAGCACCTGGTTTGTGCCACCAAAAACACCTGCTGCCCCGCCAGCATCGTCGAGTAACACTGGTCCGCAAAAGGTGATGGTCAGGAACGCCAGGACGTTCCCCGACAAGAAACAATTGTCCACGTACAGAGGAGGGCACGTTCACTCGAGCACCTCGTGGTCGTCGCCATTGCGCGATGACGAGGAGGACGAAGAAGAAGACACCATGGAAGGCGTAGCTGTCGTCAAAGGAGAGACTGTCCGCGACTGACAATATCAGAAGACGCAATTGCAGTCCTCCGAAGTCCTGGCCTACCTGGCCCGTTTCCTGTTCAACTTGGCGAGCTTGCGTCGCTTTATGATCAGCTGGTACAGCGTGTCCAACCCTTCGTGGAGGCCCTCGCCCGTGATAGCGCACGCTGGTTGCACTCTGATGCACGCGCTACCCGGCATTCCCGACAGTTCTAGGACGCCCAGATGCTTCTCAAGCTCGCCCACTTCTTTGGCACCTGTAGACAGCGAGTCACATGATTTGGTCAGTCGGAGTGAACCGAGACTAGCGATCGAGAAACGCGAGATGTCTTCTTGGTATGCGAGGAACGATGAATAATAGTCTGTAAGTGTTGAGATGAAACAATGTTGGCATTGGTTTTCAATGTTGGCGCCAATTGTCGAAAGTACGCAGTTGGTGAGGGCAACACATTTGAAATATGATATATGTATACATGTACAATATGTATACGTAGAGAGGTTCTCAGAGAGAGAGAGAGAATAAAACGAACGAGAGTTGGATTAGAATGAGGTTTTGTATTAGATTAGTCTTCGAATTAAGAATATTATACTTTTGTTATTTACTTCAGTATTAGTATACCTACTAGATTATATGTTTACAATGAAGTGTGATTGCACATATCACATATTTTTAAAGTGCATACTTTAACGAATATAGGAATATATAAAATGTTTAGAAAATAATTTATTAACAATAATCACTACTAGCACATTTACGCTACTATTCAATACACGGATTTAATTATGTTATAAAGAATACTATATTTGTAGTACTTGTCTCTGTAATTTGATAAGCCTCCTTAGGCACATTTTTCGAGACAATTAAAAGAAACACATTGACAAAAACAAATGTCTCTACTGTGATTTACAATGTAAATATGTTTGATTATAAATTGCGATCAAGTGTCTTCAAAGTCTTTCGATACAGTAGTGTTTTCTCGGACACTTATTCTTACATTGTTCAAACTTTAAAAGCGATCCTATTTTATTAGCGAAGATGTTACAAGTACAGTATGAAACAATTACATCAAATCTTGGATAACTGCGAGAAATAATTTTCAGTTCCCAGTTCAGTTCAGTTCAAAAGCACAAGCCTTAATGAAGGACAAATAAAAATAACACAATATGAAACTTATTTATTTTTTATTTTTTCTTAATGGGACCTTTACCAATTTATCAGATTTTTCTTATTTTAACAAAACCAAACACGATATAACTTAAATCATATTTGCGTATTTAATCGTATATAACACGATTTTATATTCTATTAGAAGTAGGTTAAAAACAAATTATATCATGTTTGGTCTTGTTTTAATCGGAACACTCTCGCAAATACATCGGTAGAAGTTTCATTTAAAAAAAGACAAAAATAAAGAAATTTCATTTTTGCATTATGCACTATGTATTGTCTCACCGATATTCGACCCCAAATTATGTTACACTACTCAACGTTGAGTTTCGTATGATGTGTCGAGTTCCCTCTCACAATCAGTAGTAGAGATGGCTACCGTTCACTTATCCAATCGAAAATGTCTCGCAGTTATCCAAGCATTGCTGCATTTTAAATTCTCTTTACGAGAAACGATGTACAAGGACAAAGGTGAAGAAACGTTTAATTAATATTACTTGTGGAGACACAATTGTCGCTAAGAACGATATTGATTTTAAAAGAGGCCACGATTATCACTGTTTCGAACGAAATGCGGCACCAGCGTATGTATACATGCATGAAACTGTCTTACCTGGCAGATCCTGTTTGTTGGCCAGGATCAAAATGGGCACACCGGCATTATCCGGGCTCCTGGCTGTCTTAGTGAGCTCCATCTTCGCTTCTTCGAGTCGTTCTGCGTCGCACGAATCAACGACGAAGATAATACCGTCCGTGCATCGGGTGTAGGACTTCCATAATGGTCGTAATTTCTCCTGTCCACCCACGTCCCATACGAGAAAATTCACACCTGCGATAGACCAATATGGAAATCCATTTATATCCCTCTTTTACTTCCACCCTTATCCACGTCAAGGGGTAGGATGTAAAATTGAAGGATAACGATCGCTTAGTCGACGTGCAAAAATGATAAATTTCTGTCAAGCTCATACCATTCTTCGTACCTTATCTTCAAAAGTCTCGGTTTAAATAAGCAAGTTTTTACAAGTTTGCAAAATTATAGACTATTCTGTGAACAAATATTTCACAGTATTATACGTATTCGTATATTAAATATTATAAGTATTCGTACCCTCATTTTTGTTGAAATCAAACGATGCATGTAAGATTTTGCAATAAACTTTTTGCAATAAATGAACACATCTATAAAGTTTATTTGTACCAAATTATAACAAAATTGATTAGCTAATAACAAAAATATTAATTTTACTCTACATAGAACATAATAACAGTCTACAAAAGTATTCGTACCATTCTTAGCGAAGTCGATTTTCTTTTGTTTCGAATGACATTTCTCATCAAAAATAATTTCCACAGTTCACAGTTGGTCGAGTGAGCGCCAACAAAGTAGTCTAGTTCGAAATTGTGTTAAAATAACATCAGTAATCAAAAATGAGTCGAAAGAAGTCCGAAACTACTCTAGAAGAGCGTCAGATTGGAATAGTATTGCAATATCACTTTAAAACTGGTAGAAAGTATGCCAAAACGATTAAACGATGTAATAAGGGTGGACCCACGAAATAGTAGAAAATTAATACAAAATAAAAAAGTTACCATAATATGCAATTTTTTGACAAAATCTACACTGGTACGAATACTTTTGTGGACTGCTATTATGTACTATGCAGAGTAAAATCAATACACTTTTGTTATTAGTTAACCAATTTTGTTATAATTTGGTATAAATAAACTTTATACATGTGTTCATTTATAATAAAAAATTTATTGCAAAACTTTAAATGCATCCTTTGATTTCCACAAATTTCTCTTACAAACAACGAGGGTGCGAATACTTATGGGACTGATTGTACGTGCGTTCATACATGATATAATTATTCTGGCAATTATTAAATGGACAACATGGGAGTATACAGAGTATCCCACATAATTTCTACTACAATTTTTTAAACACTTCAATCGCTTAAATCACCAATTACCATCGAAACCAACTACTCTATTAGTTTTAATCGATTTCCCCTTTTCTCAGAGATGGTTTTCGGATAAACGAAGAAACTTTTACGACGGCTTTCTGTAACAGCATTATTATCTTAAGCAGAGTTTGCTAAGTACACATAATCCCTTTTACTTTTACATGACACTTGTTTAGAAAATGGTGCTTCTTAAGCTCTCAACGAACTACGATGAGTCGAATAAACTTTGACTACCCACTTTGCTTCTAGGAACTGCATTCCACCGTAAGTCGTTGCAACAAAACACTATAAAATAAGAAGCAACGGAACTAAAAGCAGAAAGTCTTCGAAGTAATTGTAGCTTCCCGTTCGATCGATGCCACCAGGTTTCTGGGACGCGAAAGATCTACTCTCGTAAGAAACTGACGTAGAATTATTTCGTTGACGCGTACACGATAAAAGTAATAACTGTTTTTGCGGTGTTAGCGTCATTATCCTTGCCGCGTAATGGTTACGTGTCCCGAGTATCCTCAGTGATTACGTGACTGAGGTGTAAATACGTTTAGTGTTAACGTTTCATCCTGTTGGGGCTTAATTGTATAGCGAATGTGTTATAGACTATTGATAGTTTTATGATTAGCAACCAAGGTTCTTGATGGGAATGCAACTTCTTTGTTATTTTTTCAATTCACAATTTGCATTCTATTTCAGTTCGATTAACTTTGTGTACATTTGAGACGAGAGCGAAAAACAGTTAATAATAAACATTTAACCCATTTGGAATAGCTGTTGCTTATCACCAAAAGCAGAATATTCAAAAAGAATAAATAAGATCGAACTTTCCATGTTTATAAACAAAAATTGGCGAAGAAAATTATTGAAAAATATTGTAAAAACGAAAAGACTAGAGACACTTTATTTACCAATAGCTCAATAACGAGATACACTGGTCGCCATTTTCCTACGCGAATACCTCCAACGGAAGCTAAAGGAAAAAGGACATGTAAACAATGCACTGTATGTAAATCAATATCAGTTAGAACAGAAACTGTTTTCAAATGTGACATTTGCAATGTTCCATTATGTATCGATCATTTTAAAGATTCTCTTACTGATTAAGATATTTTAGTATCTATTTTAAGTTTGTTTACCGTACAGCTATGTAAAAAAATAAATAATTATGTTATAACTGGTGTTTCGGCCACCCGTGGGAAAAATTTGCATGGGAGATTCTAGAGGCCAAAATAAGACGAAAATCAAGAGTATCAATTTCTTGATTGAGGTTTCGTTAAAAAGTTACTAAAAAATTACATTAATAAATTTCAAATCGTTCTGGAAAAATTATTTTTAGTTGCGAGGGTCAATTACAATAATTTTTTGTCAATAGACATACCCCCGAAATCTTACCAACTTTCGAGAAAAAAATTCGAGTAGGTGTGAAATTTTTCGACAAAATTAAAAAAATTTCAAATCATTCTAAAAAAATTATTTTCAGTTGCAGGGGTCAATTATAATCACTTTTGGTCAATAGACATAGATCAGAAATCCTACTCACTTTCGAGAAAAAAATTCCTTACCGAAAAAATAATCTGAGGCCTGAAATGGTACCCTGAAATTTCACGCGAATCTTTGAGACACCATAACTCCAGAACGGATTGGACGATTTTAATGTTTCGAACGGCAAACTACGCATATTTTGATGGAGAATATGTGGGAATTCCAAAAATATCCGAAAAGTTGTTCCTTGACCTCTTAAAGTGAGAAAACCCCCATAAAAATGGTCCAATTTTCGAACGGCTATAACTCCTACAATAGTAAATATATTTAAATGAAAATTTTTTCTGAAGTAGAGCTCATGGGTGACTACAAAAAAGTATTAGACAACTTTTCTGTGGGGCAAAAATTGACAGGGTAGGTGCTGAAATTTTTCGGCAAAAAGAAAAAATTTTAAATCGTTCTAAAAAACTTATTTTCAGTTGTGAGGGTCAATTACAATAATTTTTTGTCAATAGATATACCACCGAAATCCTACCCACTTTCGAGAAAAAATTCGAGTAGGTGCTGAAATTTTTTGGCGAAAAAACAAGATTTCATACTGTTCTAAAAAAATTAATTTCAGTTGTGGGGGTCAATTACAATAGTTTGTTGTCAATAGACATACCACCGAAATTCTACCCACTTTCAAGAAAAAAATTCGAGTAGATGAACTTTTTCGACAAAATTAAAAACTTTCAAATCGTTTTGGAAAACTTATTTTTGGTTGCGGGGGTGAATTACAATCATTTTTGGTGAATAGACATACCCCCGAAATCCTACGTACTTTCGAGAAAAAAATTCTTTATCGAAAATATACTGTGTGGCCAGAAATGTTTCTACCACGGACGGAACTTTAAACGTTAATAATTTTTTAACGAAGCCTCAATCAACAAATTGGTATTCTTGATTTTCATCTTATTTTGGCCTCTAGAATCTCCCGAATGACGATAAAAATTGATTTACCTTTCGCTTTGCCGATGCCACCACGAATCCTCTCGCAGTTGAAGCCTATGGTGGGTACGGTGTTGAGGTACTGGTCGAACTTGAGCCGATACAAGGCGGTGGTTTTTCCAGCACTGTCCAGGCCAAGCATGGCCACGTGGAGCGGCGTTCCTGTAGGAAGTGCCTCGAGGAGGCCGCCGCTCGTGCCGCTCCTGCCCATCCCAGCACCCATTCCTCTCCTTTAGCACAGCTTCCTCTTTCCTAGATCACGCTTCCAACTCCTCCTAACCCTGTTACACCGTCCTCCGTTTATCGCGCATTTAGCCCCTGTCTCTGTTTTATTCCCAGGAATAAATTTCTACCTATTCTCTGAAAGATTTCGACGACGAAAAGCTGCCAATATCTTTCTTCAGCCTCCTTCGTGTTTCTAAACTCTACGACGTCTTCGTGGCCTTGTCTTATGTTTCCTTAACTTCGATATCCCTCGAAATCTTCCCCCACTCTCCTCCTCTGCTCGATCCCGGATTCAACCGACCCTGGCCATAGCCGCAGAATCTCCTTCCCCCAAATTCTCGTTTCGTTTACGATACTTCGCCTCCTTTATTCCATGCTGTATACCTGGCGTCTAAGTTCCGAATGTTTCTTTCGTCCTGATCCCTTGTCCTTCACGTTTTTCCTTCCACGTTCTCTTGTTTCGCGTTCGCCAGTCGGGTGCCTTTCGTGTCTGTGGGCCAAAGTCGAGGATGAAGAGGGAGGGTAGTCGCCGCTTTCGATGCTCGTCCCCACCGTAAAAGGACTCGCTTCGAGGCCACGATCAGTACCGCACCGGCTGAAAATGAAAGGAGAAACGCGTTAACGATGCCTCCGTTCGATCGTTGGACTTTTCTTCTTCTTGATCTTTTTCTCTAGCTACTGTCAATCCCAGAAGTTTTTCGAGCGACATTAATTAGAACACAACAATCGGCAATATTGCATCAATCATTGCATTTCAGTGTCAATTTAGTGTACGCCATTTTGTAGAAAGAAATTCAGAGACCATACAATGACAAGCTAAAATGCGCAAAGTCCTCCAATTATTGCACCATATCTTTGAAATTATTCAGAAATAATATCTTGTTAACTAGTTTCCAACGAATGAAATAAGATTTTACTAAACTCTGTACGATAAATAAGAACGGAGATGTAGCACTGCAAAGTTAGACTAAAAAAGTGTAAAAATCGCTATAGTCCCTCGCTAATGGTCGCTGGTTCGGTTCCGCGACGCGAATGTTATTGAGGGAGGGTTAGGTTAAGTTAGGTCTAGATCGCATTGCAGGCGAAAATGAAAAACTCTGAGAGTGAGTGAAATAGAAACAAATATTCAAAGTTTGTTTATACGAGAGGTTCGAGAATCATTCGGAAGTCAAAATAGGTAGTTTTTTTTTTTTTAAATCATGATTTTCGTATTGTAGCTTAAGTTTAAAGTAGGAAAAGTAATTTTTTCATTTCATTTCCTACAATTTCTGTTCTTAAGGAGTTTCTTTCAAGGTTGTAATAGATTATTATTATAAAAAATAATGTTATGTATGTTTTATATATCATTTTTTTTATATTTGTATTATAGTACTTAATATATAGTTTATATAGAATACTACTGGCATACTACAAAATAACAAGTACACCATTGAACTATTGAATGTATCTAGTTGTTACGCTGTAATTTGAAAAAATGTCAACAGTATCTCAAGATAGGGAAAATGGGTGTAACAGTCAACGTGATAATGAATTTTTTTACTACAGAATATGACAAGCAATCATTTTTATCTTATCTGTATATCAGCATGCTTGCTGTCTTAAAACGATTCAGCGTACCTGATAGTCAGTATTATTAATAGCAATGCCATAAGAAATAATTATTTGTTACGAGTCTATGCCAAATTGATCACTAACCACTATAGTAGTCACACCAAATATAAAATATTTCGTGTTGCGTTCAATATATGCTTATAACTTTCCAAGCAAGTGTTTATGGTTAATCTACTTATAATTATTTTGTTTCCATTTGTAGAATAAGCTTCTACAATTTAACGCGTAAAACTTGAGACTTTCTGTGTATGAAAGAGATAATGTTTCTAAGAATCCACCATCTGACAACAGAATTGCTCCAGATAAGAGCCAATTATGAGCGACGATTAACCCTTCGTGCTAAGTACTTTCCTGTGATCACCTACCAGCAACTTGAACACACTTTCTTATGAAATAATGAAAAATGAATCACTTCAAATTAAATGGCAAAGCGTTAGAAACAGTTATTGTATTCGATTGATATTTTCTTTACAATCTTATAGCACTTGTTTATGAAAAAAAATCAAACTTCTGCATCCTATATGTTAGACAAAGTTTAAAACTCGCGGTCTTGGCGCCGTGCTTCTATTGGTCACGCGCGAACCAATTACGCGTTTCTTTCTACGTTACCCGCACGCGTTCTTTTATTAACGCGACTCGAAGATCATGTGCAAAGCATACGCATCGCGTTGTAGTATGACTACAAACTAATGTATATTTCCGTCTGTAAATACAATACTCTTAAATACTCGTAAAACCATAGGAAGTGTTTATTTGAAATCTATTAAGGTTAAGTTAGGTATAAGTTCTCACAGCAGATGGCGTTCAAGTTGAAATAGTCTAGTAACTAGTTCAGTCTAGTCCGAGAATACATGCGGTGTGAGTCAGTTGTGCGTAATTGTAATAAAGGACATTATGAGATTATGATAAAACTAAAAACCTGGTCAATCATTACTTATAACCTTAAAAATACCAATCCATTGTCCTAACAGTATGTACTTCTAATGTGTAATAACGATCGTTCTAAACAATTTCAGTACTTGTTCATTTATTGAGAACGATATGTACGTAAGTTGCACACAAGGTGTGTTCCAAGAGACTTCGGAAAGCAGTTTCTATCCAGTTACAATCCGTTGTTAAATATCAGTGAACCGGTTGAAAGTAATGGTAATCGTAAAGTACGGTAACATAAATAATCGAAAGAAAGGACGACCGCACGACACGAGCCTGTTTTCTACGTTTATTCATCGTAGAATCACGGGGTCTGCGATGATGGTTCCGCTTTATCTCTCGGTTAAATAGCCGTCCAGACTATTTTTAGGAAGAATAATACCGTGCAACAACCGGTGCCGGAGGGAGAATTGAAACTCATTATCCCGTCGAATCTACTTTAGGATGGTGTCATGGACGATTTTCCCTTTTGATTCAACAGCATACCATCCGTTATTTCTATATATAATAACATTTAATTCAAATACTGTAAAAGAGCTTTATTAAGGTTAAAGCTTTATTAAATCTAACCTAAAAGAATATTTTAAATAAATTTCAAACACAATTAAATTTTACGTAAGAAATATAATTTATACTAATAGAAGTTATATAAGCTTTTTCTATAACTTCTCTAATAAATAAATAATGTAAGAAATCTTAGTTCTTTCGCGTATTATTGATAATTAACACTAGGTTTACGGAGACTCGTTGCGTATATTTTTATTGAAATTCGCTGTGTCAACAGTTACATTAAAATGCAATGTTTCTTTTAATTAGAGTGCATATTCATATCATTACATCAATTAAATCCAACATAAATTGCTAACAAATAATATTTATGAGTTCTGTAACGTTAGGTTTAAAATCTTAATACGTCAAATTGACGTATCCATAAACTTAGTGTTAATAATTTGAACACATAACCTCAAATGCAATTTCGTTACTTTCGATTTTCGTTTTATTGCGACCCGTAGAATCATCCCCTTAAGTATTTGTCATTGCTAAGTAAATATCTTGTATGTTACAATGGTGGAAAAAGAAAACGTTTAGTTTTATATGACATCGTGAGCCGTTCTGTCAGCTACTCTTCCTGTCTATTGTCCGCGTCTTCCGGTGTCTAGCGTAGTTTTTTCGTCAAGTTAGGTGAATCCTTTATTCTTATTTCCGTCACGATCGAATCTACGTTTCAACTTCCGCGCATTCGCCACGAATCGAACGTTCAATTTCCGTATCGCTGTGCGCAACGTATCGATTCGATTATAGAGTCGAGGATACTTGTCGAGAGCCAATTACGCCTGATAGCACTGTCCCACAAATAAAAATCTTTTTCATATTTTGCAATAAACAGGCACGGCGTATGATATTAATTTTAACGAATCTTTCTACGAATATTCAATAACTTTACGCCTTTCTATTTTACGTAAAAGTACTGTAATTAATTAATTTCTTGTTTTTCACTTTTCGTCATAGTTTGCATTGCCATTAACAATATTTGCTAACAGTTGACGACTAGGGATCGCTGCAAATTGAAGTTCAAGTTTAACTAATATATTAAAACGTTAAAAAAATTAAGAACTAATCACACTCAATTTCTGAAAAACAAGAATTTCTGTAAAAATTAAGTACAAATTAAAAACACTAGGTCAATTTAGTCTTGAAAGATTGGTGTTTCCTAAACATTTTACTATATTTGTTTTTATAAAATTTTGTAGCTTCTGCAAAAATTCATGTTTAATTCTGTTAATTCTGTTTCTAGATTCGTGTTTAGGATGTGAAACTTTACAAAAGTCATCCTGTAGATATTGCAAATAAAATTCATGCTGGACAGTGTAATCAACTATCTGCGACGAGTAAAATCGACGAATTATCTACACTTTTCCTCTTCTCGGCTTCATCTTCGCGACCATTGTTTCAGAGGATCCATTTTCTCCGATGACGCAACTTGTAGCTTTTGTCCTTAGTTTCTAACGAACCCCAGCGCGATGATGCGTCTCTCTCCTCCTCCGTTATTTTCCAATTTAATTCTATGCGACTATGTGATAATTTCGCGTAATTTCGCAGCTATGCGTCTGCTTCCTCTAACGACGAGTTCGTTGTGAAAGCAGAAACATAACTAAAATGTGAAGATAACGCACACCAAATTTAAAATTGGTAGAATTTTAATGTAATATGTATATGTATTGTGATCGCTTAAAAGTTTTTCACTATTTCATTCTACTAACAATTCCACAATGTTGATAATCTGTCTCAATTTGACAATAAGCAAATTACCAATGATGTTTTCCCCATGGGATCGTATGATTTTTAAGTTTTTAAAATTTTTAACAGATAACCAATATAATCAACGTGTAGCAAAATATTTGTATCATTTATTCGATCGAACATTTAGTCGTGAAATATATCATTTTATAATTGAACTTTTAATTTTTATTTAATGGATAACAGATAGAAATTTGTATCTATTATTTATATCTATATCTATAAATTTGTCTCCTCATAACTTCGTCAATTTCATAAATTTTTTGAAGAGAATTTTTAAACTGTACATCCTTAACTGTGCATGCTTTTAGAAAATATAAAATAAAGAATTCAATTTTTGTTACCCGACAAAGTAAAAATCCCTATTAAATTCCTCCAGATGGACAATCTAGACCAGTGTTTCCCAACAAATGCGCCACAGGGGACAATTAGAGAACTACTATGTAGCATTTGTCACCTTCATCGCCAATATAAGGGAAAAACACTATTATTTGTTGTGCTAACAGACATTTTTATACCATAAAAATCTTCGAGACATTCAAGTGGAACATGATCCAAAAAAGGTTGGGAAACACTGATCTAGACTAGAAATACGTAATCCGAACGTACTGAAATGAATTTAAGGTTTCTCGGTAAGCGCTAAGACCGCAAGGGACACGAGTCATAGAAAGCTAAGCCAATAAACCGTAAACCAAACACATAACACTCGTTTTGTCTGTTTACTTACTATAGCTTGGAGGTTCTCGTTCTGTTTCC